CGCTGCATTATGTACGCGACGCGTACACATACGCATATATCCAGGGCCAGATGGCTGCAAGCCCAGCTCGGTCTTATGTATACGCGTGTGTATATGTGCGTGTACGTATACGTGTGCACGCAGAATTTCTCGACCTCGTAGTCGTCGCAGTCGTCGCATGTGTATACCGTACACGCATATATACGAGCATTGTAATTTTAGACTTACGAACGAACGCGTGGGCCTTATATATATGCGCGCTCCGCGGTGTACGTCTGCATACGTGTACGCGTACGTGTATACGATAAATACGCGCGCAGCTGAACAATGACTTGTATTATTTATATGATTAGCCGTCGGAGCTTATTTTTATGTTATACATGCGCCGAGCGCGATGCCGTTTGTTTTTTATTTCAATTTTTACCCCTTGCGCTCGTATACGCGAGTGTCTGTGTTGATATACTTTTCCCTTTTATTTTCACGCTCTTCCAACGCGTCCGCTCAGATTATACCAAGGAAGAATTGAAGCTCGCGTCTTTATGCGTTCTGGGCGCCTCGATGCGCGATATGCTCGTCTTCGATTGTGCATCTCGGCAAGGCTGTATACGAGTCGCGCGCCTGACACAATATGCGATGTCTAAGCTCACGAGTACATAATACGATGAAAACCAACGGTACAATATAAACACGAAAGATAATCGGCCATTTGTGTTATGCAGCGAATACAGGAAAGCAGTAGCGTAGTAGTCCCATGTGTGTGCTCTCTCTCTCTCTCTCTCTCTTGAGTCGCTCGATCTGCTGCCTCGCGCGCGTCTATATTGCCTCGCTCGCTGCACCCCGGCGCCCGCCGTGCTGCTCTCTGCGACCGTCGAACGCATCCGAGCTATATATACCAACCCTTCGTGTAATAGCCCATCTTGTTAAATTGAGCATTGGTCGAGTGATTTACGTTAATTGCCCCCTACCGCGCTGCGCCGCTTCCCCTGCACCGATACACACGCGCGCGGCATTACGCGAGACTTGATACCGCGACTCTCTTTTCGGTCCCGCGTGTAAGCTTGTATTGTACAGGCTCCTTGATGCTGCTGTTTGTTATACTACTGGCCTCCTTATAAGAGCTCGTGTTCGGTCTGTAGCCGCACATGGCGACGACGCGCTACTTACGACGGTACTTGCCCTTATCGCAAGGCGACGTTTCCTCTCCTTCTGCTTATTCTTTTAATACTCCAACGCGACTCCTCACGAGTGGTGTATTATGACTGACGCACTTCGTAGTGTACTCGTGCGTCGATGCGAAAAATCGAGAGACGAGTCGACGCGGGTAAGAACGAGACAGTCTTCAAATTGAATTTCGAAGTACATGGTATTGTTCTACGCAATAATAAACACGCTGCGTATACGTTTTCATGTGACCTTTTTCCTCCATCTTTTGCCTTTCGATTAGTATATAATATTTGTATGATCCGTCTGCGAGCTATTCGAACAATGCCGTTCAATCCCAGCGATATAGCTCCTCGCATTGCTCTCGGTGCACAGAGCAAACTGAAAAATCGTCTTACATCTCCTTATACACAATTCCCCTTTCCCCAATTCTTCTCTTGTTTATACAGTACCACTGCCGCGCAAAAGCGTAGTACATAGACGCGAGCGAGCTTCGCAGCAGCTTCTATCTCTGATCCTTCTTCCATATATATATATATACGCGTGTATAAAATGGGGCGCGCGGGGGCGGGGGCGGCAGCTTAGGTAGTCCTTCAGACGAAGAAGAATCCGCACGCCGCGCGTAAGGCGTAAGACTTCATAGGCTAAAGCCATTTAACGGTCTTTTGCGAAATTGAGTCATCGCGTGGTTTGCTCGGAATCTCGGATATTTTCCTCTGCTCGCTTCGCTCCGGCTGGCGCGCGGCAGCAGCAGCAGAAGCAGCCCTTGCTTGCGCTTGCTGTTCCGCGCGCTACAGTACTGCCTTCCGCGCTTTCTCTTAGCCGAAACAGCTGGCAAAGAGGCGCATTAACATCCACCCACGCCCGTACGCGCACTCGCGCGTCTCTCGGTTAGAATCGAACCTTCGCGAATTGAATGTAAATGCGCCACCGCCCCGCAGCTGTAATCTCTACGCGATAGCAAACTTTTTTTGCCTTTTTTTTTTGCTGTTCTTTTTTCTTATGATTTTTTTCAGCATGCCGAGAGACACCCGATGCAGCGTGCTCTGATTTTTTCTTCTAACGAATACGTTTGACGAGACGAATTCTTTTTTGAAGCTACGAAATCACAAATTAAGCACACGTGCGACGTCGCGCGACTTCAGAGACGTTGATACGCTCTATAACACAGGTACATCTCCTCAAATCAGGCCTCAAGTACAAGCCTTTCATTAGCGCCGCTCGAGTCAAGTACCTAATTAACTCTGATCGCTCAACTATATAAATCGTGAGCCAGATAATGGCTTCAACTTTGCTTGGCTATTCAAACTTTCGGCATTGTAACACTTTTTCTCTTTGCGATGGAGCTTCCTCTTTCTCTCTCTCGCTCTTGCGAAGGCACATTCGGCGCTTGCCGCTGTAGTATATAAGGTTATATGTACGCTTTTTTGCCTCGCTCGCAAACTTGAAGCGCAATTTGTACTCGAAAAATCAATGGAAAATCGAGCTGAATTGAAGAAAATATTCTTATACGTTTCTGCCCCCCTTGTTTTATTCATATCAGTTTTGTAATTACTCGGCTAAAGCAAAAGTAGCAACAGCAGCAGCGGCAGCGGCAGTAAAGAAGCGATGTATAAACATTCTTTATGTATTGTCTTATAAACGAGAGAAGTTCTGTGCGAAACTCGTATAGACTATGTACAGATATATTCTCGTTGAGCCAGCTCTCTCTCAACTGCGTAGTACAATTAATTTCATCAGCGCGTATCCATCGGCAAAGTTCAATAACGTATCGAAGCCGTTGAAGCTACGGAGGTGCTTCTATCTGCTGCTGCTGCTACTACTACCACTAGCCAGAAAATTCATTAAAGGAATCAGAGGCAAGGCTGAAGGTTGATAAGTGAAGGAAGGATAAAAGACGATAGTACGAGCGAAGAAAGAGAGAAAGAGAGAGAGAGAGATAGAGATAGAGCGAGTGGATGAGAGAGGGTGAGGGAGGGAAGGAGTGCTATGTAGCTAGAGCAGTACGGGCGACGGAGGAAATCTTCAAAGAAGAACGTGCGCGCGAGCGAACGAACGAACGCGAAAGCCTGGCTTGAGCTATAGACGAGAGAATATTAAATTTTCCCTCGGCGCGCGGCGTTGGCGCCACGACTGCTATACGACGACGACGACTAACCCGAGTAGCAGCAGCAGCAACACAGCGAGGTGAGAGCTAAATTGCGTGACTTATTTTCCATCGCAGAAAACAAGCGCAAAAACGATGCGGCGCATGGCAGCCAGCAGCCTAGCCGTGAGCGCAAAAGCCTATGTATAGAATATGGAAAAAACGTCTAGCGCGCTCCACATTATACGTAACATCAAGACAACAAGCCTGGGACAAAGACGCGATATGCACTTTTGACATTATTCTCCAGCGATGAAGCGCATATTTTTAAGAGGTATTTCATAGCTACCACCACCACCACACACCGCCGCTGCTGCTGCTGCGACGCACATATGCGAGAGCTCGAGCTAGCAAGAACGAAAGGTTCCCATGCGGCAGCCACACAGAGAGAGATAGTTTATGCATCTCATCATAAAACTTTTGGAATCTCCTATTTATAAAGCTTTCGCGGCGAAGTTTGTGCATATTTCTCGCAAGCGCCAAAAGAGTGAACAACGCCGTACGCGAGCTTGAGCTGCCCGCGTATAGAAGAAGGGGACTTCCTTATGATGCGCTTTATAATCCTAGCAGTCGAGCCCAGACTTATGTTCGTGAGCGTGTGTGTGTGTGTACGTCTAAAGCTAACGCTTTTTTTATATATACGTATTACGTGACCCCGAGCTTGCGAGAAAGTTGGTCGCGCGCTCGCGTTTATTATCCCGAAGCTCGACGGGGGCCGGGTTAACGCGCGCATTCCTTGGCTTGCGCTCTCTTACGCGGAGTCCTGCGCTAGCTGCGCTTGTCTTTTTTTCGATGCGCTCGCACGAGTTGCAAAACTTCAAAACTGGTCCTTCTCCCGGACGATTAAAATAATGCACGAAACAATGCGCCCTCGCGATGAGTAACTTTTCTCCTCGTTCGTCTTCTTCCACTTGTATTTTTCTCGCTGCCTGCTGGACTCTCGCCTGGAAGAGAGAAAAAAAATTCCACGGGGGTTGTTGCAGCGTATACCACGTCTTATAGATATAGAAGAGTGTATACCGTTATAGGTGCGCGCATCGGTTTATCTATACATGCGCTATATACGTATGCGAACTAGCGGCGGCGGCGGCGGCGGCGCGCAGGTATAAAGTTTCCAACTCGCGCGCGTTTAGCCAACTCTTATCGTCGCATAGTCGCTATAAGCCAGTAGCCTAGCAATTATGTGCTTCCGCTTTAAGAGCTGATAATTCACGTGCCAAGAAGAAGTAGTACTTCGTGGAAGAAGACGAAGAAGACGAAGTAGAAGAAGAAGGCGCTACGCCACACTACTTGGCCAAGGTCTATACATATCTATATAGCGTGTGTATAATGCACCTAATTTTACAGAGGCAAGCGAGCGAGCGAAATCGGTGCGAGAGCCACGATCGTTTTTAGGTAGAAATCCTACGATTTCGCCCTGAGATTGCAAATTGATGAGTTTTCTTGGTAAACTTCTTTCATTTTCTATATTTTTCTGCCCCGTGCGCGCCGAATAACGCGAGCCATTAACGAGGAGATCTTTTAGGAGTTATTATTTGCCGAGCGCGCGCCTGCGTTCTTTCTCTCTTTCTCTTTGAAAGGTCGGCGCGAAACCGACCATATCGTAACACGCAAAAAGTGAAATTCCACAAGTGAGCGGTGAGCCTGCTAGGCTTATATATTTGTGGTTTTTCTTTTCTTCTTTTTCTTATGGACGTTCGTTTATTGTTTACAGGACGCAACGAGCTCATAGCCCGGTATATCAAGTTAAGGACTGGCAAAACGAGAACGCGCAAGCAAGTATCGTCCCACATACAGGTGCTCGCCAGAAGGAAACTACGCGAGATCCAGGCAAAGCTCAAAGTGGTAAGTAGAGCTTTCGTTCACTTATTCAGTAAAACATTTGGTAGATTATTATTCTTGAATTACACATATAGCCGCACGCATTAGAGCAATATATAATAGTTGCACACTAAGTACACAATTTATTAAGTCTAAATGTCGTAGTTGGCTTCTTTGTTGATTGAATTTTTTTTTTCACGCATTATTTATTTTTGAATCAAAGCTTGACCGTAGATTTGATAATATTTTTTGCACAGTGCACACTACAAAGGCAAATCCCTGAACAATGGCTTTATACAAATACTCGGCATCGCAACCTCTTTACACTGTTGATTTCTGTTCATTCGAATTATAACATTCAGTTTACTCACACGCAAAAAGAAAACAACTTCAATTGAAAGTTAGCCCGAAAATAACTGGAGTATCGCAATTAAATGTTTTATCTGTAAATATATTACCAAATAGCTACGGTGCGGAATCGAGCTTCTTACGGTTCGTTGCACTTTCCCGCCCAACACACGTGCCATAGTCGACTGTTTCGGTGCATCTATGTAAATCGCGTTAATCAAGCGTAAAAATGAACACAACGCGCGCGAGTCTACAAATTGACGTATAAAACAATTGAATTCGCAGGTTAAATTACTACTAAATTATCGGTAAAATTTTCCAAAAAATCATGGTGAATAATAAATAAAAGGTTGTTAGGAAGCTTGCACAGATAATGCATTTCAACATTTGGTAGTAGTAAACGAAGCGATGCTTCAGCATGAGTGTGCAAAAAAGTAGATAACTCAACGCTAGAAAACGAGCGGATAATGAGAAAATATCTAAAAATGTGAAGGGAACGACCGAGAATGAATATTGGCACGAGAGTCGGGCCGTAGAGCTTTTTAATGAGTTTCAATTAGCACTTTTCGATCGTCAGTTTATTCCATCAAAGCGATTTATTGCGTTCAATAATTAAAATTAAATTTTCATTAAAATTTTCTATTACCATCTGGTTCAATTTTATTCACACATTTGCAACATACAAACACGAAAATACCAATAGTAACCCTCATTAGCCCATTCGATAACCGCGCGAATGTTTGACATTGTTTAACTAGTTAGAATTTCTGCGTAACCAATTTTAAATTCTCTCTCTCTCGCGCGCGCTCTATCACGCGCGTGCACATGCAATTACGGTCGGAAAAGCTTTTCCCGGCTCCGAGGAAAAATTCGACCATAATTATATCGTAAAACGAGCGGCTCAAACGTTATTCGAGTGCGTCAAATTTGAAAAAAATGCCCCTGAAAAATGAAAGCCGATCTTTTAATGACGAACGATTTAATATATATTTTCCGTGTTAATTTTTGAAGGCTGAGGTTACTCTCTTTCTCTCTCTTTCTCTTTCGCTCTCTTTATCCGGCGCTTGTGTGCAGTCCATGCACGCGAACGCAAACACGTGAGCTCTCATTCTACTAGCAAATATTCGAAATTCTCATCGAGCTTTATAAATGAATATAGGTACGTGTGCGTACTTTGGGTGCGTTCTTGTGCGCGCTCGCCTCTCAATTAAGCAAATTAATTTCGAGTTGATGCAGATTTTCGTTTGTACGCACGCTTGGAATTCTTTCTATCTCTCTATCGCAGAGCGAACCCTCTCCCCCTCTCTCTCTCTCTCTCTCTCTCTCGATCTAGCTCTCGGGTGTTCTATGTACATCTCGAGCGTGCAGTATTTCCACGCGCGTTAATAAAAGTCAAGCATTTTTCAATTAAAATCCGATCTCTCGTTTCTTCTCTCTTTCTGTGTATACACACGCGCGTGTACGTGTACACACCTCTTGCATAGGCGCGAGCACACATGCTGCAACTTCGAAAAGGTTATCGAAAAAATCAAATTGAAAAAGCTCGTTCCCGTTTGTATGTACGCCAATCTCTCTCTCTCTCTCTCTCGCTCTTTATGTGTATACACGCACACGACGATGTATGCGCTCAAAAGCTCGCGAGTACGTGTTTACGTATGTGTGCGTGCAGGTAAATTTTTTGCGCGCACATACTCCGCCCGCCCCGTATTATACGTTACAAACAATGCACTCCTCGGCTCTTTTACACTCTATACTTTGTACTCACTAAACTTATGCGCACGCATCGCTAGTACGAAAAAAAGTTCCTTCTATAAAAATGAATAAAATAAACGATTGGAGATAAAAAAAAGCTGCGCTTGTAAACAGGCTCTTTCTATTTCTCTCTCTTTCTCCGTATGGAGCCGGCGCACTTTTAGGACTATATAATTCAGTATACGATGCGTATTATAGATATGCTCTGCTCTGCTACGGTATTTCGTCGAGAGTACTTATGTGTATGGCCGTTTGAAAAATTTACGGCTCCGGTATGTGCATTCAATAAATGTGTGTGTACGTGTGCATACGTGCATGTATGCACTCGCATTGCAAGCTTTACGCTTGCGGATAATATAACGCGTCATCGACACACATTGTATTTCAAAACTGCGCAAGTGCTTTGTATATATTCGCGAGTAAAAGAGAGAGAGTATAGGTAAATTGAGATCAAAAAGTATGTATATACGGTACGCGTGCTCGGATCATGTGCTCTACGTGCACTCGGTACTCATATATTTAAATATAATATAGAACAAAAATGAGTAAATTTTATCAATGCGTTCAACACGATGAAAATTATATTAAAGCTTGTTGATGCACTGCGCACTTGAAACATGGTATAATCTTTTAATTGTTCCGTTTTTTTCGCTGCGTGCCATGTAAAAAGTCATTACAATCAGAAATCTTCAGTGTAAATGTTTTCGGTTTTAAAATGAAAATAACAAAATTAATAATACGAGTGCGGGCTTATCTGCGTGAATTCATTCATTTAATACTTCATACTGAAAAATAAATATTGATTTAAATGAAAAGAAAAAAAGTAATAAAAAAACTATAATGATTGTAACCATAATCACGATAGGACGAAAACCCTGAGGAAACAAAAAAGGTGCTGCATTACTCTACTAGTTTATCTAGCGCCCAAATAATACATACTCCTGATTATGGTCAAGGTCATAACGGAATCGCGATCCGCTGCGCGGATTCGACAGGATCCTTACACGCGCCCTTACACGCGTCCGATCCCATGTCCTACCCCCCGACGGTAAGTCCTGTGGCCCTTGGTTCACTCCATTTATAATTTTTTTTATTTTATAATTTTTTTTTGTCTTCAGATTATTCACTCATTTACACTATTTATTTTGCTTTTGATCGGCTCACGCTTCTGCTCTCTGTTTGCTTTTACAAATTATACTCTTCATCTCCACAGATCAATAACAAAAGGGGGGGGGGCGATCTAATTCGGAATCGACCGTACCTCTAATTGTAAACTGTCTATTTACTATCAGTCATTTCATAATTACGCGATGATATGAAATATCATTCGATCTATTTTGTGTTTTCGATTTGTGAATTTATCAAGCACGTTTACGTTTTAACATTTTTGAAAGCGTATAATTTAAATAAACACAATATTATTAAAATATTTTAAATGGACACAACGAGCCGATTATTCAATACTTTTGTGCATTATATTATTGTTTTGGGATACATTCTACGTAACTTCACACACTTATTCTATCCTACGGTAATTTTTATTTTTTGCTTTACTAACCCTGGTGTTGGCAAGTACGTAGAGCTTCCTAGTTTAATGAAATTAATTATAATTTTCTGTTAGTGATTGGAATTTCGTATATTTCCTTAGAATAATTTACAACCGGCATTAAATACTTATTCAACATAGAGTACAATAACACTGACATTCCAAAGATATTACTGGAGCATTTAAATTCTAAATTAATCAACTATTCAACAATTCGGTTTTGTGGTAAACGCACACTTTTGAATATATTCTTTAATTGTTAGCATTATCTTGAACAGGCATTGGACTTTTAATATTATTTAAAAAATCTATTTTTTGCTTCAAAAATTTGTTTACCATCCATTGTTTAGTTGCTGTATATTTCTTGCTCATCGTTCTTCCTAAAAAGTTCCATGCACTGACATTAAATTTTGTTCTCATAATTGTGCGTCTATATTTTCTCGTAATTTTTACCTGAAAATACCATAGACTAAACAAGAAATTCCAATAAAATAGGGAAAAGTAGCAAAATTTTAATTTGAATCTACTGTTTATAGCAATTTTGGCAGCCGGGCCTGCAACCGGGCACATCTCAAGATGTCAAGCCGTTCTCTCAGCCAACGTACACCGGCAAGCCAGCCACTGCAGTGTCGAGCGGCGAAATGGTTCAAACACAGCCGCCACCACCATGGGAAGGTCGGGCCATAGCCACACACAAACTCAGGCTCGTCGAGTTCACTGCTTTCGTGGATCTTGCAAGAGATCCTGACAATGTGAGTATACAATACACGATACAAGAATAAATTATAATACGAGACCTAGACGTTTAATCTGATTCTCTGTTCGATTTTTTAGCAATACCAAAAGCATCTGTTCGTGCACATAGGCGGTTCGCCGTCGTATTCTGATCCACTGCTTGAGGCGATTGACATCAGGCAAATATATGACAAATTCCCCGAGAAAAAAGGTGGTCTTAAGGAGCTTTACGACAAAGGACCTCAAGAAGCCTTCTATCTCGTGAAATTCTGGGCCGATCTCAATACCAGCATGGACGAGCCGGGCTCATTTTACGGTGTAACAACTCTGTAAGTTCTCGATCCATTTACGAATCTCGGATTTTCCTTAAAACGACATTCTTTAAAATTAACTTTAATTGTTGCAGATACGAAAGCAATGAAAACATGACGATAACATGTTCGACGAAAGTCTGCTCGTTTGGCAAACAGGTCGTAGAAAAAGTTGAGACCGAGTACGCAAGGTTCGAGAATGGAAGGTTCGTCTACCGCATCGCACGCTCGCCCATGTGCGAGTACATGATCAACTTCATACACAAACTCAAGCACCTGCCGGAAAAGTACATGATGAACAGTGTCCTCGAAAATTTCACCATTCTTCAGGTGAGAATTGTCGTCCTTTTTTCGATTTTCGATCCAAAATTCGTCTCAAATAACGAACTGTGTCTAATAATAATTTTTCGCACCAACAGGTAGTCACAAATAGAGACACACAAGAAACGCTCCTCTGCACAGCATACGTTTTTGAAGTGTCGACGTCCGAGCACGGTGCTCAGCATCACATATACAGATTGGTTAAGGACTAGCCAGTTGTTACGACTCCTACTACTATATTCACTGCAGCTTGCGATTATTGAGACGAAAGAGAGCAAGTTCGCCGTGCAGCCATCCACCCCCATCAGTGCCTATCGCTTACGACAACAAAAGAAAAATTTAAATCATATAGATATATACATACACACACGTATATGAACATATACACTTTAACACAAAATATATTATTATATTATTCTCACGTATGTACTCACAACCGTTGAAACGAGAACTATTTCTTCGACCGTATTGTAAATTCCTATTTACAGAATTTTTTGTTACGACTTTTTCTTTTCATAACTGCAATGCGTTACACACTGCATGTTGAATTTCAAAATACGTTTCTAGCGTCTTTTACGTATAAATAATTAAGTAAATAAACTATATAAATAGTATAAAAATTTATTTGAGTGTAATATAAATATATAAATATCTATATCGGCTAAAAGGAAAAAATTACTCGAGCGTGCATTATTGCGAATAATTGAAAGAATTAATATAATGCGATATAACTAGAGTGATAGACAAACTTTATAAAAGCAAATAAGGTGTGAAAAATATTATACTGTATACGCTTGTATACAAACATTCAGAATGTAACAAAAAATCAATTTGAACTAGCCGATCCACTGAAGTCTACATTATTTCTTATTTTGTCGTACAAAACAATATAAAAACAAGTCGTTGATGTACATTTTATTTGATAAATTTAATTATCATAAGCATGATTACGAAATTGTGATATTACGTTTGAAAAATGTAATCAAAATCACATAAACACAAGCTTCGTTAAAAACAAAGAATAAAATGAAATCTAAAAAAAATGAAGTTGCTTTAGTTAGGCAAAGGTGACAATCACAAGAATTAAATGATCTTTGACAATAATAGCGAATATATTACACATTTTTACGTTTGCCAGTGATAATTATTGCGTGAGCTCAGTTAACGTGTGATTTTTATCCTTCTGGCTGGAAATAAGAGCGATTTTCATTCACATTCAATCGATGTGGCTCAGCATGGACATGACTTTGATATTATGTATATGATTATAGGCACAGATAAACACACTCGCAAAAAATATGTCGGAGGTACGAAAACTTTAGACTCCAGATACTCAGGTGGATAAACACTTATATTTACTTACACGAACACGCACATCGCATATGTATGAAAAATCGTACATATTTGTGTTAAACGATAATTCTATGGTTATTATTCAGATTGTTATGAATGATCTTGTATAAAGCTATGAGTGATCTTTTAAGTTGATACAAACAGACCAGAGCAGATGCGTAGAAAATATGCTATTTTCAGTTATATTCGATTGCCAAGTAAATTTTGCTTCTTTCATAACTTTTTAAATAAATGTTGTTAAATATTACATAATATTTTATACAAATCAAAAATACTGAAATATGAAAATAAAAGAGCTTCTATCAAAATTTACAAAAAATTCTTGGTGAAAATTGGCCATAATTTTGTCACAATTAAAAGTGCAAAATTGTCAATCTTCACCTTATCCAATTGTTAGGTTAAAGCTCTTTATTTTTATATCTCAGTATAAAAAACTAAAGACTACGTGTGTATCATTTTTAATATGTTTGTGAATTTTCATGCATTGCTCGTTGTGTATAAGAAAGACTTTACGCACTTTGTTATTTACATAACAATTTTGACATTTTAGGCATCGATGGATGTTTGTATTTCTTATAATCACTTTTGTACTTTTTAAGGCTAATTTTTTTTTAGTTATTACAAACGTCGATAATGAATTTCTTACTTAGCGTGCAGTTTGTTTTTATTACTTTTTATTACGTTAACGTCAGATTATATTCTATTTTGCTGCACTTTGTTTTCTTTTTCAAATAAATTTTCTGTTTGTTTATGCGTTTAAACATAAACTTGCTCAAGATTTCACGTATCGTACTTAAAATAAAAAAACCGAGAATACTTGTCACGATATACCTTTTTTGAGTAGAGGACGCAATGCCTTATGATTTTTTAATGGGTTCTGTTATAACATTGAACTAGCTTACATTTAAAGATTTTTTTATCAAGTTGATGTGGTTTCCAATTTTTCCACACGAGAAATACTTATTATGAAAGTTACACCATTATTATAAAAGAAAATTGGGTACATTTAAAAATGCACTGTTAAGGCACTACAAACAATCATACTAAGTTATAAAAAACGGTAAATTAACAAGTTTTTGATCGAATATCAACAACTTTTGAACAATAGAAACATGAAAATATAATAGACATTCGTTCTCGTCTTGAGCATTTATGTTAATTCTTTTTTACTTTTTAAAAGTCGACTCAATGAATTATCAAGTAAAACTTATCGCATGCATATAACTTTTTCATCTCAAACTCAACGCTTTTCACAATGAAACTTGCCTACCAAGCATTAACATTAGTAAGAAAAATACACGTTACTGTAAGATTATGTTATAATTTATTTACTGTACTGTTACTTTAATTATGTTTACGAAACAAGTGGCAATGTATTTGATCTCTTTCTTTTAGTCAGAAGTATGTCAATTTTTTGTTTTTAATTCAGGGTGAGATACAAATTATTCTGATTTATATTCATAATTATTGGTCATATTGCAATTAAAATTTTTATTCATAATTAAAAATTTAATTTATTTAGCGAGCAATAAATTTGGCAGCTTTGCAATTTTTGTTATAATTTGTAAAATTTGAATGTGCGTGATGTGTTGAATAAGGAGAATGATTAATTATCTTCAACATCAAAATCAATAACGAACGATTCAATAATTTTTTCCAAATACTTATGAAAAATAGTTATCAGTGTAAACTATTATCTTATTAGTAGAGTGCATGTAACATCTACACATTCACATTCTCCACATGTGAGTACTGTCCTTGACGGTAATAAATGATCTCTTGTATTGTTACTTAAAAGGCCGTTTCTATCGACATCAAATAGAAATTTCAAAATATTCTTGATTTACAGTCGATTTACGTTGATTTGAAATCAAGAAATTATATTATTGAATCATTCTCGACTTTGGTGAATTCAATGTCTGAAGAAAGTAATAATTTTACCTGGTTTTTGCTTTTATATCATATGAAAGTATGAGAAAAAAAAGATCGACCGAACCAAGAATTCAATAAATCAAGCACCGACGCTAATAATATAAACATTAGATGATAATAATTTTAAAATGAGTAAATAAAATATATGAGGAAAGATAATAAGAAATATATATTTATCTATGTCTTCTGTGAAGATAGAAAATAGCATTCTCTCTCTCACTTTAATATTGATGATATTGAAAAATCTTGAAATTTGAGGAACTGATGAATCTGCTAAATAACATCTGAGACAATTTATTCGAACGTAAAAGCAGCTCAAACTGTATAGAAAGTAACATATTGAACAATTTGTAAAACACTTTCGAATTTGTTGATTGAATTTGTACATATTTGCATAAAAAAAAACTTCGGAAAATTATGTATAAAAAAATGAAATTACAACTGTCATTTCCTGTCGTTTAGAAAAAAATATATTATAAATAACTTTACTATTTTTTACTATGAGAATTAAAGGAAGATATGTGAGCAACTTTAACATAAGAATAATGTTCGTATCAGAGTGATTTTCATAGAGGAGCTGACTTACGCGAAACGATACTCGTTAAAAACAACAAACTGATCTGAAGTTTTAATTTCAGTTATGTTCGTTCTTAATCCATATCCTGATATTGCCATATCAAATGATTGATCGTTTCTGAGTAAATTGTTCGAAAAAAATTCTGGTTGATACGATTTCAATACAGGAAAGCTTGTATTTGAAAAGCCATGAAATGGTCAAAACAAGGATTAAGTAGTTGATTTTGACGAGTAAGTGGAGATATATTAAATGATATATATCATTGAATTAGAGTTTAAAAATGTAATAGAATTCAGTATATGTACAGTATTTGAAAACATGTTTATAATTTGTATGAAAAATGAATAATTGATATGAAAAAAAATGGTTTCTATTTTTCATTTTCATCCCAAGACAATTTTTAATAACATCAGAAAAATTCATTTTACTCTTGTTGAACCACCCACTCCGATGTTGAGAAAATTAATTTTCAATTTCTCTTGTATACTTTATGTCATCAGAATTGAGAAGTTCCATATCTACCGGTAACAACGATCAAAAGAAAATTCCCCTACATTAGTTGCCAAAGTGGGACCCTAGATCTTGTCGATAGAGTTAAATCAGTCTCTAGGTTGCCACTTGCTATATCAAAATATAGTTAATCTATTGCCTGCTCTCGTGTACACATTAGGCTTTCTAAAAAAAAAGCCGACGACGCGTAAATTTCTACAGCACGCACGCTGCGGCATTAAAGCCGCGCCGTATGTCCGCACAAAAGAATGACGGCGAAAAGGAATTATGCATAATTTATGAGAAGATTATGAGAAGATGAGCCTCCTCCGTTTGACTTATCCTCGTTAAACGGAAGGTCAAAACAAAACATCGTGATCTCTCAAGTTCTAAATTAACTCGTTAGAATTCCAAATGTACGCCTTCGATTTTTGATAAAGAGATATCTAAAACAAGACTCAAATTATAGTTATATGGCCCACGCTGCAAGGCATTATTCAAGATTGGAAGTTGCCTGTAGTATTGATAGCGACACATCAGTGTAAGGTGACACGTCGATAGTTCCTGAAAGAAAAAAAAATGAAAAATAGTCTTTCATTTTTAGATTTGCAAAAATTAGTCTTCAGTTTTTAGAACCAACAAGTTATAGATTAAATTTTGAAAAAAAATTGATACTTAACTTAAAATCAAAAGTTTTTAGTGGTGTCCAGATTGATCTTTCAAAAGTTTCTGTTTATACTTTTTCGATTGAACATCAGTTTTAACTGATTATTATAATCATGTCTAAAAAAGGTAAGTTGATTTCTAAAACAAATCAAATTTGAATATTATGAAGTAATTTATTGTTAAATTTTTACTTCTTTTATTCAACAGTGGAATATCCAATGCTAAAATATGTTAGCTTGGTCACACTTACATTACAAAATGCCCTTGTTGGGCTTAGTATGCGATATGCTCGTACACGGTCTGGTGATATGTTCCTATCTTCCACAGGTATATTTTTCATTTTATGATGCTATAATATAAAAAAAACATGCAATTTAAGAAACTGTATTTTCATTCCAGCTGTTTTTATGGCAGAAGTTGTGAAACTAATAACTTGTTTGGTTGTTGTTTTTCTTCAAGAGGGTAGTTTCAATAAATTCCTAAATGCCCTTAACAACACGATTATCAAAAATCCTAAAGATACATTGAAAGTATGTGTACCATCTATGGTATATGTTATCCAAAACAACTTATTATATGTTTCTGCATCCAATTTGGATGCTGCTACTTACCAGGTAAATTATATTAATTGATATTTATTAAATATTTAATACAGGGTGAAGAAGAAGAATATTTCATGTAAACATTCAAAATCTTTTAGGTAACTTATCAACTGAAAATTTTGACTACAGCATTTTTTGCTGTTGCAATACTGAAGAGATCTCTTTTAAAAATCCAATGGGGAGCATTAGTTATGCTGCTACTTGGAGTGATATTAGTGCAATTGGCTCAAAGTAGCCCAAAAACAGTGGAATCTGGGATCGAACAGAATCATCTATTAGGATTTTCTGCAGCTTTAACTGCGTGCTTCCTATCTGGATTTGCAGGCATTTATTTTGAAAAAATTCTTAAAGGTTCAGACATATCAATATGGATGAGGAATGTTCAACTAAGTTTGTTATCGCTACCGATAGGATTTGTAACTTGCTATCTAAATGATGGCCCAGTTATTCAAAAACATGGATTTTTCTTTGGATACGATGGATTTATCACTTACTTAGTAATACTACAGGCATGTGGAGGATTAATTGTAGCTATGGTTGTTAAGCATGCAGACAATATTTTGAAAGGATTTGCTACTTCTCTCGCGATAGTCATATCATGCGTTGCTTCTATATACTTATTTGAATTTCAATTAACTTTCAAATTTGCTTTAGGAGCAGCTTTTGTAATTTGTTCAATCTTCATGTACAGTCATCAACCTGCTGCTCCCAGTAAACGTTTATCTACTGAAAGAGTATGAGGTTGGTTGTTCTTTAGATTGATTTGATATGTAGCCTAGCTCAAAACATCAAATCAAATCTAAAGATTAAAAGTTGTTAAAAAAATATTTTGTAAAAATATAGGAATCTATGAAGTAATCTCATTACAGTATTAATTTTTCATGAAAGATAACATTTTCTATATATTTTTATATTTTAAATCAGAGAATGTTAGATTTTTTAACACTGTAATTCAATTAGATAATTAAATCAATCAAACTAAATATATTTATAAAATATGTAGATAAACAAATTTCTCATAACTAAAAAGATAATTACTATTAAATTAATTATTTTATTTCTTGTGACGAAAAATTTTCTACAGATTTGATTGAATAAGTGTTAGTGAAAATTTTTATCTGTACTTAAAAAATTAAAAAAATAGAATTATCATTTATAAGTTAATTTATAAGAGCAATTGGTATGTATGGGTGGAATAGAAGGTTCATCATCTGTTTATATTTTATTTTAATGGTTTAAATTATATTAATATTTAAAAAAATTTTATACTAAGATTAATGAAAGTAATCAATTGACTTTATTATTGTAAATATACTATAAAAACAACCAATTATGCATTTACATAACATTAAAGGTGCATAAAAACTACTGATAATAAGAGCATATTATAAAATAAATGTTTTTATCGATAAAGATGTTGTTTTATTTTAAATTTTACCGACACTCGATAAACTGGAAATGCTCCGAACTTTGATTTTAAAATCATCACAAGTAAGCGTAACGTTAAAAAATATTACGAGAAAAAAGATCCGGCACTATCATCGGCGTCATCGTGTATCCACGCGAGACTTCCCCCACTAAAATTTTTTCTCGCTCGCACACTTGTCCAAGATACGGTTATATGTCTTTCAAGCGTAGACTCCAGTACGAGTCTAGCAGTCTTGTGCAGTGTTTGAAATTATACAAGAGTGTTTTTTAGTTGAAATAGAAAAACCAACTTCCAAAATGAGCGAGCCAATTTGCAAGAAACCGAAAGTGCAAAACACTTTGAAGGAGTTGAAGACCATGACTACGGTCGTTGCCGATACCGGTGACTTTGAAGGTACATAATATATACCACTTGCATAACTATACCTTCATATTGTGAGAAAAACGTGGAGCAAGCAACAGGGGATTGATGTCGAATTTGTACGTGTGTATGTTTATGCGAAGAGGAAAAGACTCGTTACTCGACGCATGATCGTTGCACGTATGCGTGTAAGTGCATGACGCGCAAAATATCGTACGTTTTTTAAATAAATTTTCCAGTTCGTTCGTGAATTGATTCAAATTTGATAAAGACAAAACTGAAATCTTACAGTTTTGTACTCTTTCCAGAAGCTGTTAAACTTGATATTTTACAGACTCCAATTAGAATTTGTAATGAGTTGGAAAATTTTTGACAAAACCGCAATCGCGTGTAAACGTTAGCGTATTTTTTTTTTCTTGCTCCAAGGCCTTTGTAGAAAATCAGCTCGAACATAATTGCCATTAGCGATTGTTGTCATTAAAAATAAAGCTGATTTTCCAACTAGTATACGAGCCAGTACATATGTCACATGCGTCGAGTATGATTAAAAAAATTGTTATTATGTAAGAGAGTTTATTGAACTAGTGTAAAATAAGCGGCAAACGCGCCTGCCCTGCAGTGGTAAATCAACTTCTCTTTGCGGCCTCCTTCTTTTTCGGAAAAAAATTCGTTTCAACGATCAGGTCACACATTGCCTTGGAGTCAATTTGAATGCCATATAAGACTTTCTAAAAATTTCAGCCACTCGAGAATCTCGAGTGAAAGTCATCTAGCATTTCATTTTTTCATTGGGACATTATTAGCACGAACGGAACCTACTGTATAGGCTTATGCGTATCTCGTGACGTACAAGCGTTTTTTTTTTCGTCCAAATACTCACGCAATTTGTTTTTGCTCGAGGATATAACATTATGAAGCATTACGATAAGATTTATGAACTATCTTCGATAATACACGCTTTGCTGGAGAGGTCATGACACAAGTATTACATCGTTTCTATACTTGAACTTTCGTAATTCTGCTGTACCGGTACTATTGTCAGTTCGAAATAATAAGGAAATCTCAATGGATTTTTTTAGTTACATAGTAATGCAATTCAAATTAATATACATTTAAAAGCTGTTTTTTTTTTAAATTAATGCAAGTTTATAAGGTCATCTAAAAATATGAAAAAAAATCGGTTTCACGTGCTCTTAAAAGTAATCGATTGAAAACAACACTGTTTGCATTACAGCCATGCAGCAGTTCAGGCCCACCGATGCCACAACAAACCCTTCTCTCATTTTGGCTGCTGCTAGCCTGAAGAAATACTCCGATTTGATCGACAAAGCCGTGGAAATGGGCATCAAATCTGGAAAGTAAGTCCCCTAATTTGTTTTATAAATTGTTCTATTGGAAATAATGGCCTCGTTGTTAAAATGTTTGCCCGATTTTATCGTCACAGAACCAGAGAAGAACAAATCGAAGCTGCCATGGATTATACGAACGTATTTTTCGGTATGGAGATCTTGAAGATTGTGCCAGGACGCGTGTCCACCGAAATCGACGCTCGTCTCTCCTTCGACAAGGAGGCCAGCATCATCAAGGCCGTGAAAATCATCAACCTGTACGAGGAAAACGGCATCAGCAAGGAACGAGTCCTCGTCAAGTTGGCTTCGACCTGGGAAGGCATCCAAGCTGCCAAGTAAGTTCGAATCATCTCAAACGAATAACAAGCGAATCGATCGAGAATTTATTGACATTACTAAAATTTGGATTTAATACAGGGTGTTGGAAGAGGAGTACGGAATCCACTGCAACCTGACTCTGCTGTTCTCGATGTCTCAAGCGATCGCCTGCGCCGAAGCCGGCGTCACGCTCATCTCGCCCTTCGTCGGTCGAATTCTCGACTGGCACGTGGCTAATGGCAAACAGAAGAGCTTCGAGGGCAAAAACGACCCAGGAGTCATTTCTGTCACCAACATCTACAACTACTACAAGAAGTTCGGTTACAAGACCGTCGTGATGGGTGCCTCGTTCAGAAATACCGGTAAGTTCAGTTGCAAAATCGAGTTCTCTCGTCGATCGTTCCATCCATACACCTTCACGAGCAAATGAATCTACGTTTCAGGCGAAATCAAGGCTCTGGCTGGATGCGATTACTTGACGATTAGTCCAAAATTGCTCGAAGAATTGGACCTCAGTAACGAGCCCTGCCCCAGAGTACTCGATCCCCAAGCGGCCAAATCCATGAACATTGAGAAGCTACAGATGGACGAGGCCAACTTCAGATGGCACATGAACGAGGACCAGATGGCCACCGACAAGCTCAGCGAGGGCATCCGCAAATTCGCCGTCGACGTTCGCAAGCTGGAAAAGCTCTTGCAAGAGCGAATTCCTCAATAAATACGGGCGTCTTTGTAACAACCTTACAATTGTAAATTTTGGCATAATTTAGAGTTTAGATTTGTTTTGTGCGACGCGTATTTGTAGAGTTTTTTTTTATGCATTTTGTGTTTTACGCATATCATGTTTTTTTATGCAATACCGTTGTTCTGTATAGCTTTATCAGCGAAAACGGGCGCATTTTGAATGTGGCAGGAATTTTTGTAGAAACAAAAAAAGAAAGAACAAATGAAATATAGATTGCAGTCCAACTGTAAAATGTGAACTTCTCTTCAAATATTGAAATAAAGATCTACCAACAGAGCTGTTATCGCTCACGATTCATGCATGAACATATCCATCGACGCAACGATAAACTGCTCGCAGGGACAGAGAGATAAATGTATCTATCTGTCAATTGTGTTACAGTATTACTGTGTTTCTTTACGGAAAATTTTCAATTCGAATATCGTGGGAATATAGATGCAGAGAGACTCCGAGTACAAGTCGAAGAACACGCGATAACGATTGCTTTTTGAAAAACCTTGAGCGTTTTTACGGTGCATCGTAAGACGTGTGTGGGCGTGTACATCGAATTTGGAATAGGACTGATGAAACACAGACAACGATATACCTAATTTTTTCGATGGATTGGATACTTCTTCAAGAAATGAATTTATGTTTTAAGCTTTCTAATTATATCTATCGCTCCGTGAATGCTCTGCATGAATTAAACGGCTTAAAACGTCAACTCGACATATGCATATTCATCGTTTTGGCTCCTCTAATGAAGGTTTTTAGATCAGTTATCGCGCCTAATTCATTTTAATTACATAATTTTCCAATCTCGATCAGTTTCTAATCGTAATCGATCACCCTGTCACTTAGCTTTCTTTGAAAAATGAGTTTTTGAAAATAAATTTCGTATGCACGTGTCATTAACGCATCCCCCTTCGAGTGCATTATTTACAAAACGCACGAACACGCGGTAGGCGCGTTATATCATTTTATTTATCAGCGGAAGAGTTAAAGTACCGCATGTGTAATACGAGCCGCGCGATAAGTTTACACAAAGGCAAGTCATGCGCGATGGTAGCGCGGCGCATCGCTTGACGTAAACTGCACCGTGCCACGAGAAAGCGCAGCGCGCAGCACGGCAGTCCTATTGTAATAGTGACAGTGCTCCGTAATTTCACTTCTGAGCTACGAGTAGAGCATCTCTATCCGTGCTACACTTGTTATTATTATATACTTTTGAAGCCGCGATTGCCACTGCTGCTGCTGCTGCTGCTGCTGCTGCTGTTTTCTTGCTTCACGCACGCAGCGCAGTGCGATATCGAGAAATTTTACTCAAGCTTGGAGAGAACTCGAGGCAGTCCAAATCTTTCTCTTAGCGCGTTGTGTACGAGCGGAGAGCGTCTCTCACTCCGTCTGCTCCAGAATCTAAATAGGTATATTCATATATACCTATATACAGTGCCCGTACAGCACACTCACAACTGTACGATCGACCAACGTGGGCTAAGCTGCTGGTTGAGCTTGACACTCGTTCACTTACTTGCTGAACATTAAACTCAGCAGTAGTCGTGCTACACACACGTACGCACGCAACACAAGCTCGAATTCCAATTTCCAGCGCTTCTCAAACGTACGTACACAATTTTACCTATAATACTCGCACGTGTGTGGAGCTGAGAGTGGATTTTCTGTATGTATATACGCGCTGATAGGATATAGGAGATTTGCGATATTTTGATTCTGCACTAATACAATTGGCCGCGAACCTCGCGAATAACGCGATCTCCGCTTGTATAACAACAAATTTTGCCCTTCATCGTGTAAACAAAAACGCGAATCGGGGGCTGCTGATTGCTACGACTGCCTGCTCCAAGCTAGCCGATATCAATCTTAGTCCTGCGAATTCAGTTAGTATTGCTCCGACTTTTTGGCCTTTAACGACATCCCAATCTATATATTTTGTTATAATATATAAAAATCTATTAATCACCTTTCGAATCCCTTTTCGAAATAAATCTTAAGAAATCATGTTTCGTACAATGAAGTGGTAAATTTCTCGTGCTTTATTTTTAATTCTTTTACTTTTATCCACACGTTCAATTTATCGATAAAAATTAGCCCTTAATTAACTTGTTAACTCTTTTTTTCAGTAAGGAACACGATCATTCATCGTTTTTCAAATTCTTGGAAATAGACATCAAAATGAATACCAAAATGACAGATTGCTACTTTTATTTTTACTCCAAATGCACAAGGGTAAGTTTGAACTTTCGTTTGCCATATTTATAACTCTGTTAGTTTCTTTTACAAAATTTCTGATTTTCTATTGTATTTTTAAGATTTCTGCAGTAGTAAAACTTTTCTCTGTTACACTCATTTATCACCACCTTTAATACTTTAAGGTTAGAGTAACAGTCATCATATATGGGCATATGTTATTGTAGGTGATAAATGTTGATTATTACCTAGCGCATGAGCTTTAAATTCAGATAATTTAATATTCAGTTTTAGAACTTTCGTAAACCAAAAAGTTTTTTTAATCGTCTTTGATGTGTTGAGGAGTGTTTTTAAAGATTCATTTCCACTCAAATTTTGAGTATCTTGGAAAATTTATATTAAATTTATTCTCATGAAAAGTTTAATCAGAATGGATTTAGAATCAATTGCTTTTTAAAACTAAAAATAATTCTTTTGTCGCTAGGGAGAATCCTGTGCCTTCAGACACGAGCCAAGTGCATTAGGAAAAGAAGTTGTATGCCATTCTTGGCAACAGGGTAACTGCCATGATATGCGGTGTAGTTTGAGACATATGGAGATCAAGGTATGTTCATTGCATAACATTTGATTTAATTAAGAGGTCTTGTTGTTTAGGAAACATTTATATATAATGAGAATTAACTTTTTTTCATAAAATGATCATTTTTGTAAATATTACAATAATCCTAATATATGATATTTATTCAAACAGATTATTCATTTTATAGATTTTTTTTAAATTATTTTGTTGAATGTCTAGTAATAGAAAAAATATTAATATACATTTTTCCTGTTTACTGTAGAAAAATCGAAAGTCCATCCCTTGCTATTGGGAGAAATTTGCAACAGGATGCCAAAAACCTCATTGCCCATTTTTGCATAGAGGAAAGAGGCCTGCTGTCAACATGGTTCAAGAACCAACAGCTCCATGCAGTCAAAATCCAGAGTGGGCTACACAAGAAGTCACTTATGACAGACCTAAGCCTGAAGTTAATAAACCAGAAGTAAATTGTATAAACAATAGCTTTGTTGACCCAAATTTGATAGTCAACTTCCAAGAAGGTATGAGACTTTACTAGCCCCAGCGGGCTTCTTTAAATCTGCACTACCTCACTCCTGGCAATCATATGCCTATGCCATCTAATATCCAAACGAGCCTAAATCTTCCACTGCCACAATCACATCCTTCACAAAGCCAAACTCATACACCTTCGCATTCAAAACCACCTCAAGCTACAGCTAACAGTCTAGGTATACCACAAGGGGCACGATCAAGTACCCATTCCTCACCATGTCATCATAGACCTTCACCTTTGCCATTTGCACCACGCCCTCAGTTACTGCATGTGCATCATCAACCAAGAGCCCCGCCGCCTCCACTATCTCCACTGCATGTACCTCCAGCAACCCAACAGCCAAGCTCACCTTTGCTTCAGAGACCTGGGGCTGCTACTGCATTTTCCAGTAATATTCATCCACAACAATCTACATCCCAATCTTCTGCAGTTGCAACAAGACTTCCTTTTCCTTTTTATGGCTTTACCTCGTATCATAGGTTTTGATCGCATGAGGTAGTGCTTTATTTCTTTAATTTACAACTTTTAATTTCATTTTCTATAAAACAATTTTGCAAACAAATTTCTTATGTTTACAAAATTTATGTTATTCAACTATCAAAAAAAATTTATAAATGTTTTTGCATTCTCTCTCTTTTGCGGATCACAAAGAAAATTCTAGAGAACTATTAAATTAAATTATTTTATGTTAACTTGAATTTATAATAACGAATGTGATTGCAAATAATCTTTTCTGAAGACAAACTAGAATATTCAAGGTGATGTTGCAAAGCCACAATTTTGAAAATTTTACTAATACATTTACTTAGTTTGTTCTTAGATACATTTTTTTAACCATTTGCTGATTGACTTTTAAGCATTTACCAATTTTATTTATTTTTAGAATAGCATGCCTTTTAATTTTGCAAACTTGTGTAGAATAGAATATATTTAATTAATTTTTTTCTTAAAAAAAATATTTATTCATTTACTTGACTATTATCACTTGCATAAGTTCAATAACAATTTTTGATAAAATAATTAAAAAATTAAAGGGTACCTAACTTCAGTCTTATTATAATAACTCAATATATTAACAAAAAACATCATTTTTACAGGCGATGATAACTCGAAGTTAACTCATGAATAAACCACTTTGTTCATAGGCAGAACAAAATAATTCCTTAATCAGTTTAGAAGAAAAAAGCTAATTAAAAATTCACGAATTTCACTGCACGCTTGTACCCTTCAAATTTTTCTTTAGGTAGAATTAATAGTTATTATTTGATTAGTTGTTTACATATTGCATCCTTCCATTCATTTCTTTCTTTGTATGTAATAGCAATATGTATTGTTAAATTAATATTAATATCCAAGATCTGTAATTCTAATGCACATCTAGCTTTTATTTGCACGTATTGTAACATAATGGCTGTATTATATATACATTGTATAAATTTATTATTTATGCATAATATTTCATACTGCTTCTCTCGTGAGTACTGGCAGCTTCTAAAGTCTCAAAATTATGGAATTATTATAAACGATCATGTGTTCATGATATTTTAAAAAAATTATGTCACTATTCAGTGGAAAACAAGCTATTACTTGTTGAATGATTTTTATATTTGTTTCTGCAAAATATTTTATAAATATTGTATCAATCATCTATACAGCCTATGTCAGTCTTTGAAAATGCACGAAATCGTGCAAAATTTCAAGTATCAGTAGGTAATTGCATCGCCAAGTCGTTTTCCTATTTAAAAAAGGAAAAAAACAACAATATTACTACATATATGAATGGATAATGTAAAGTTGAACTGATGCCTTTCTTGTGTTTTGGATTAACATACAAAACAAATTAAATTGTAAAATCGAAGCGACTGTTGAGATAAATAGAAAATAATTGGATTTAGTTAGACATTATCACTATTGTGAATAGGCCTAGATTTGAAAAAATTAATAATTGCATCACAATTCTCTTAATTTGATAAAATTCTAAATCAATCAATTGAATATTTTATCAATTTGTTATTTATGAATTAAATATTGTAGCGTTGAAGTTTTCATGAAATGATAATTTGTTATCTTCGATTTTTTTGAAGTAAGATTTATTTTGTATTTATGAATGTAAAACGTTGTTAACGTTTAAGCTCATCATTGAAATAAATATTTACTAATGCATATTATTATCGCAATAATGTATCGCCTTGCATTGACTTTTGTTTTTTGTATATCAGTAGATACACATGCATTTTATTTTTTAGTACTAAAAAATTAAAAAATGATCACTACTAAAATATGAATATTACAAAAGTCGAAGATATTTTATATCTACAGCAATGCATTTAGGAAAATGTAACAGTGTAGAATCTTATGCAGCAAGTGCAAGGGATTTTCCAAGTTGAATAATACATAAAATCAGATACTGGAAAGTTTACGAAAATTATGTAAAATAAATATTGAATGAAGTAAAAAGCGAATCGAATGAAATAATGTTAAAGAGGAAATAAGTTTAAGAAAGAAACGCAATACAAATATAATATGTGTATACATAAATTTACAAACATTTAAACTACTTATGATATTGCATCTCTTACATTAACTTGAAAATATCTATTTGTTGCTTTAGAATCATCAAAATAAAACAAATATTTTTTATGAATCGATTGCTATGAACTAATGAGTAATTCAAAAAATATTTTTCTTATATTTGAATTATTAGATTTTTTGATAAATCGAGTATTGTATAAGTTTCTATGATAGGTATTACTTTGTTTTCATTTTTTATATTTGTAATGAACTGTGTACGGCTATCTTAAAAGCGAATGAAATATTAATTGCTATATATATATATATTGTAATAATGTCAAAGTATGAAATGAAGTTTTTTATACACTAATTGAAAAACATAATATTGCTTTTAGCTAATTATACCAAAATGAAAGCAAAAATTGAAAAATCATAATGAAATATGATAAAATTAATATGAATATAAATGTGAATATTTATGAAATTGCCTTCACAATTTACAAAATCTTTTAAGAAAGATTCTTGTAAAAAGGTAGTCGTAACACGAATTTAGTGATAATTTACATGGAACAGTTAGCAAAGTTTACCAACTTTTTTTACTAAATTGCTCTTTGTCATAATTAAAACATACATATTTGAAATGTAATTCATTTGTTATATATTTACAAGCAGCTTGCTGAGTTATCCATTATATATTCGTAAATATGGTAAAGAATAAAGAAACTCAGTAAAGTATTGATGATTATTAATTTGATTACTTTCAAGTCAATATTGTTGAAATCTGAGAACACGATCTAACTATAATATATTGCTTGGTTGACTTCTGTTTTTCACATTAGTTATAGAAAATCTACAAACTATTTGTTAGATATAGAGTGCCGTGGGTTATGTATGTTGAGTAAAATCTTGAAAAGATGAAAGAAATTGGAAAAAAATATCATGATATTATTGGCTGACAACTATATTAATGTATATGAGTCTACATATTAACTAAGTCGATGGCTTTTCGAAAAAGTTATTCAAATTTCAATAAACTTAATACCTCCAAATATTTTGCTTTATGATTTTCTCTGTACTTCTAAATTTCTAATTATTTATGTAATTTATATTTGAAAAATATGCATTTAACTTTTTTCAGTCTTTACCATATTGGGTGTGCACCTGAGAGCATTCACCAACTCATGTTGTTTGACAACTATAAGAATATGGTAATTGTTCAGTAGTATGATCTCAATTACTAGTGGGGTAATTCTATATTGCATCCTGATGCATTATTTTCCACCAACATCAAGATATTGGAAAATCCGAATGTCAAAAAGCGTAGGAATGTAGGAATGTATTGGGATATATTCGTTATGTTTTTATGGTAGACATTGCTGTTTTTTCTATAATTTCATTATATGCATATTGTAAATAATTTCAAAGACGATAATTTCAATCACACGATAGTTTATTTGTCTATTGTATAATATTAATCAAAAAAATAATAATAGCAATAATAGTATTATTTTTGTGCTGAAACGATACTTGGTCCAAAAACGAAATAATAATCATTTTCCAGCCGGCTATATACTATACATTTAATTTTCTTTTTTGTTTTGTAAAATTTTACAATATTACTCGAAGTGAAAATTAGTAGTCCACATATCATCAGTAAGTACTTATAATTATTATCAACTATATATTTATATACATATTTATATATATTTCTTTATATTAATTCATTTATATGTAAATTACTGACAATACTTCGCTTCAATATGGACATTTTTAAAGAAATGTTCTAACAGTTTTTCCTTATATTGATTCATTTTATGAATGCAAATTATAGTTTAGTACAATATTATTGACTTAAAATCTATCGACCATATAGGTATTCGCTGTTTAACATCTTTTCATGAGCATCTCTGTGGAGGAAAGTATGAATCAAGTAAAGAAGCAGTTACTTAAGGTGTAGTAAAGCCGAGGTTTAATTAGTACAAAAAGTTGCATTACTCTCTGATTTTATGGTTAATTGTTAATAATAGTATATTTACCGTATGGCCCCTACTTAATCTGAAAATTGTGTGTATAAAATCTGTTAATATCCGTATACAGCATTACTTCTTAATGATTGCGATTATCGACAGAACTGATGTAATGCAACTTTGCAAAATATATTTATATATTTTGTATGTTTTTTATAATTAATGTATATTTACACAATATAAACTTTGAACGTTCATTGATTTATGTACGTAATATAATAATTGTTAATAAAAGCAATAATACGCTCATCAAGTTTCTTTGAAATTTTTGTACGGACACAAAATGCCTGACAAAAAGTGCGATTGTGCTAGTGTATTCGTAGTTCTTAATTTTTATACAATTTCAAATTACATCGAAGAAAATGATATTATTAAACTCATTCCATCTTAAACATATAAATTCATAATAATAATAATAAAGCTTAACAATCGAAATAATAATCTAATGATACATCATTAGCTCTATTTGTACCTATTTATGGGCCTCCGAATGCGAGCCCAAATATATATTCAATAGAATACAACGATGCATGCAGCTTAGTTTTCAAATTTTTTTCGTTTTCTAACTAAATAAATTACACAAGTATACATTCCGAAATGTCAATTTGGCTCGCGACATTAAAATAATTTTGATATACATTTATATTAGTTCTGTATACTGTACAAGGTATATATATATATCATATAGACGGATTTTCAACGACTAATTGCATGGATTATCAACTATATCATCAGAATATTTTACGAATCGTATAGATCTTATCGAGGCGAATGTTGTAAATCCAAAAATCGAATAATAAAAAGAGATCGGTTTTTTCAACTTACGTCAGCTGATTTAATTTTTGTTTTCTAGACGCTCGTTTTTTTTTATTTTCCATTAAACGAAAGATTTATATATTATTAATCTGTGCATGTGTTCAGTGCAAATATAAAGTTCGTCATTGATATATAGCGTGACGTAAAAAAAAACGAAGAAAAAAAGTTTTATACAAAAATTGATTCAATGCTTTGGTCTGAAAGAAGGCCGCAATGGTTCTGATGCGACGGTCACTGCAGCCTTGGCGACCAGTATTGCGCTGCCATTATATCTGGCGCGGCCTGTCCCGGCACTGCTATTGGCACGCTTATACCTGGTAATATCAAACCTGAAGAACACAGAAAAAAATTGACAAAAATTAGACGAAGAGTATTGACTCGGTTGAGTTAGATTTAGTTATGATAATTCCAAAATATTTCTCGTTAATTATCGTCGTTGTTGCAAAAGATGCATATTTTCACAATAAACTCGAAATTTTTTTCCAATTTGCATAAATTTAGTAATGCGTCAGTGGCAACAACGATCTAGTTATGTAAGCAAAAAAGAAAAAAAAGGCAATAGTGTGTAGCATTTACCGAATATCGACGTGTCCCGATCGTAGTCACCTCTCTTTTAGTTAAACTCAAACTCTCCGCTCTCATACTTTCTCTACAACATCGACTTCGAGGCAATAATGTTAATGAGTTGTGCTATCGGTTGACTGCATTATCGCCCTCGATCATCATCATCATCATCATCAACACATGTGGATGTCACTCATACGGAATTGTCTAGCATCGGTTTTTGTGGCATCGAAATTGGTCAAAATTAACTATTCATAGTAAACGGGTGTGCGATTTTGTGTGGGTGTCTGTGTCTGTGAACATGCTCGCACAGCTCTGTTTTTTATTTGGCTCACTCGACGATTCAACTCCGACGATGAAGTTCGAGAGAATAGTCAAATCGTGAATTATATAATTATGATAAAAAGTACTGCACGCGCTTTAACGGGCAGAAAGCAGCATAATTTTTGCGTTACACATCTAATATCGTGTGCGTGTGTGTGCGTGTGTGTTGCGTGGGTCAGGTGGTCAGGAGTCAAGCGTCGAGTCAATCGGTGTATCAGTCTCTCTCTAATATCGGTAATAACCGACGGCATTGTAGACGGCAGTCGGTGCGCTCGGGGCGCTTGGCACGGCGCCGCCGCTGCTGCCGTTGGAGCTGGTGCATCGCTGCAGGTGATGGTGGTGGTGATGGTGGTGTTCCTTGGGCTAGAGGGCAAGTAGCGAGTGGAGCGAGTGCGGCAGACACTCACCGGTCGAGCTTCCCACCGGATGGTGATGATGGTTCTGATGGTGATGCTGATGGTGATTGTAATGGTTGAGGCCCGCGGCCGTGTGGTAGGGCTGGGTCGGGCTGCAGCTCGGCCGAGTGCCGTAGCCGAGGTGGTGGAGGGCCTCGTAGCCCGTGGCGGCGCCCGACATCGAGCCGGCCCGACCGACGCCGACGGCGCACGAGTAGCCGTTGTCGCGCTGCTGCAGGCAGGCCGGCCCGGGCGACGGACCCACCGACATGCCCACCGTCATGCCCATCGGCGAGAGGCCCGAGGGGGACGAGTTCGAGCCGACGCCACCGGGGCCGCCGCTGGCCGTCAGCGAGGACATCGGCGACATGGACTGGCCGCTGCCGTTCGGATTGCCGCCGGGGATGCCTCCGTTCGACGTCGTCATGCCGAACGACGACATAGACGTCATGGGGCTGCAAAATAGATAAAAAAAACGAAAATTAGTCAACTTACAAAGTAAAAAATTTCGATGACAAATGATTCTCGTGGTGACTATTACCTGTACGAATCCGGCATGCTAGATATTCCCGAATAGACCGATGGAGCGAAGCCGTGATGCAGCCTCGGTGGTGATGGGGCCTGCGGCGGTTGACCCAACAGTCCGGTGGATGGTGGCGGCGTCGGGTGTCCCAGAGCCACGACCCCGTGCTGTTGCGGGATCTGCTGTTGGCTCTGCTGTTGCTGCTGCTGTTGTTGCTGTTGTTGCTGCTGTTGCTGTTGTTGCTGCTGCTGTTGCTGTTGCTGGGGCGGGTCCCTTCTCTGGGTGCGCAGCTTCTCTTCGCGACGCCACTTTGCGCGTCGATTTGAAAACCAGACCTGATTTTTTATTGTCGTGACGAAGACAAACAGACGAAATTCTCGGTCAATCTCTATACTACTACATCGACTATGGGGGGGGATTTTATGGACGATTGAGCTATATGAGGGATGATTATATGCGAGAACGGATTGGGAGGCAGAGAAGAGGAGCAATAAACTCGGAGCTAGGGCTCCGCTAATGAAGCTTACCACAACTATTTTTCATCATGCTACTAAAGAATTTGGTAGTATAGGAAATGGATGTATTGAAAATAGGATAAACTCGCGCGCGATCATACTTTTACTCTACTCATGATGCAAAGATATATCTACGAATGACCTAATACAAACTAAACTTATATTAAATGAAGATGAAAAAAAGCGAAGAGCGTAATTACCTGTATCCGAGCCTCAGGCAGTCCGATCTTCTCGGCCAGTCTCTCCCTCGCGAACACGTCCGGATAATGCGTGCGCTCGAACTCCTTCTCGAGGGAGTCGATCTGCTCGTTGCTGAAGCTCGTGCGGTTGCGCTGGAGCTTGCGCTTGAGGCGCATACGGGCGGCGTCGTCGTCGGTGCCACCGCCGGACGCCGAGCCGGCGTTGCTGTTGTCGCCGCCGCTGTTCGTCTCGTCCGAGTGCGGTCCACCCTCGAGCTCGGCTGAAATGTGAGAAACGAAAATTTGGTCAAGTCTCAATTGAGTAACGCTTCGGAGTCGTTGGATGTAATTTCGTATAAGCTGTCGCGAGGTTAAATATTCAATGTTTGATTTTATACTCGAGGAGCCACCATAGGGCGCATAAATATTCAGAGGCGGCGCGCGGCATGTTTATGTAGATTGAGTTTGTTTGGCGAACGACTGGGCGAATTTAACGGCGTATTTAGCGCCCAATAAGCGATAAATCCGCCGAGCGAAATCTCGTCACGAGCTACTGCACAGCAGCGGTTTTACGCGCAGCTATAGCATACACGAGGTCCAGGCGCGCGCTCGATTTTTCTCTCATTTTTCTTTTCATCGGTTTCACACAGCTTCCATTCGTTCACGATGCTATCTCGGGGAAAGAGCTGATTTCGAAACCGTCGGACAAACACACGCTTCTGTCTCGCAAATTGAAGCGATATAAGATGCTCGCTAAGGGTACATTAGCTAGGAAAATATCAGAATGGTGACTCTGAGATATACCTTTTCAGAAAACGGCATCTCGCGAATAAAATAGAATCAGCTCTAGCTTGTACCTACTCTCACCCGTCGTTGGATATAATTTAACTATGTACTTGTACAAGACACGTATGCACGTACAAGTTTTTACTTATAGGATAGGTATGTATATGAGATAAAAAGGCGAGAGAGAAGAAAATTCCGACAAAGAAAAGAAGATACGCTCGTGTTTACGTGTGTGGGGGCGTGTGTGTGTGTGCAGACTGTATACGTAGAGGGTTGGGTGCTGCGAGTTCGACTGATCTCTCCCTCTCTAGCTTTCTCTCTCTCTCTCTCTCTTGCTCTCTTGCTTATCGCTGCTTTCTGGCTGAGCGCGTCCGCTGCTCTTGCCTCTCTCTCTCTCTCTCTCTCTCTCTCTCTCTTGCTCGTTCGCGTTACGGAAAGGGAGGAGAATGCTTGGAGGAAGTCGCGCGATAAGACGACGACGAGCTGCTCCGCAACGTGCTGCTGCTCGCTACTCTACAGAGAGAGAGAGAGAGAGAGAGAGAGAGAGAGAGAGAAGTGAGCAAGAGGACAGGCTTCACCGATGTCTTGCAGCTACACTTCTTGCCGCCCTTCTCTCTCTACATATTTTTTTAAAATAAAAATTTAATACATCCCCCCGTCGGCTTCGAGCTTTCGCTTTGAGTATTTATTATTGTCAAGGCGCGTTTCTCGATTCTCGAGCGAGCGAGGATATTTTTTTCTCGTAGTGCTATTCGTTGAATCACGGCCGCAGCGCAGCAATGCATTCTCGATACGACCAAATTAAAGGTGGGCGCGCAGCAACACACAGGCGCGCTATATATAATGCCGGGGGAGAAGCTTCGTCCGGCGTTAATGGAAAGCCGATAACAGCCTTCCGACAAGCCACAGCCAGATGATAAGAGAGAGAAGGCAAGAGTCGGTACCTATATAGAAGCTTTGAGACATTGCAGAGCGCAGAGAGTTCGCACCCTCTTGTGTGTGAGTTCAATAAGATCGTCGCGCGTCGCTCGTGCCAGTTGCAGAAATGTATCACGCTCATCTGCCTTAAATCATTTGCGCGAATTTCACGGGGATAATTTAGGGTAATCGATCGGGGGACCAAGTTTTAGGCCTGTCAAAAGTCACTCGTCGACGTGCATTATAGTTGATCCAAGTTTGTGACAATTATCATTGTTATGAATTATTATCATTATTATTATTATTATTATGACAATGGTGACGATTTGACTTGGGAAGCCAAAGTTCGCTGCATAATCCCCGCTCGGTGGCGCGTTTATGCGACATTTTGGGAACGCGCAGTAGTGGCTGCCTGCCAGTTGCAGCACTCTCGAGTCGCATTATACTTATACGTATGTGTGTGGATGTGTCTGCAGCAAGCGTACTTATACAGCCGCAAAAGGAGCTCGCTCACGTACGTAACGCAGCTCAAGATTATCTTTGGCTTGGCTCGAGAGCTGTGTACTACTACTGCAAACTCCAAGTAAGCGGGAGAGCTCCAAAAACGTCGAGCATCTTGGAGCGCTGCAGAGGCAGCAGTGTGCGCGGCTCCTCCTTTTCTTCGCCCAGCGGCGGAGCGCGGCGGCCTGCTTTTCCCATCTTTTTCCAACGGAATTATTCAATTTCAGTTTTCAAGAGGCAGAGTTGTAAACACGAAAATCCTCGATGTTCGGGAAAAAGAAGTACGCAAGGACTTTATGGGAAGGGTCAGTTGCAGTGTTGCAGTTGGGATACTGTAACACACAGGCTGCTGCATATTATGTATAGAGAGAGAGAGCTGACTAGCTCGTCCCCCCATCGGTTTAACGCGGATGGGTGTAGAAACGCGGGCGCGCGTGGCTCCTCGTCGTATCCCCTCCCTTGTATAATACAAAAATACATGTGTATGTGTGTATATAGAGGATAGATCGGGTACGGCCTCGTTCCACCAACCACGCAACGTTACGAGCGCGTTCGAGCGTGATGGCGGACCTTTGTAACAGCAGCCACTGCTGCTGCTACTACAGCCGTGTGTTAAATCTGCGCGCCTCGATTTTGCAGATTATAACTTTGCTGATCTCTCTTTCTCTCTCGGTCGCTTTCTACGCGTCTGTTTGCAGCTCATTTTTTATTTTTGCTGCTCTTTCCGTGTATTATTTGCGTTAAAAAGGGGGAGTGCCGCTGAAATATCGAATTTTTTCTCAAAGTCTCGTTATCGTTCTCTTCTTTTTTCGCTCTCTCGTATAGATACATAATGTAATGTCGTGTCGAAATCGGCCTATGATATAAAGGATACATTTTTCGTCTGATGTGTACATGTGTGTACTTTAATGGCCGATGCGCGCATTTTGTGCACCCGATTGGATATAATTTTCTCCCCCTTAATACGCTTTTATTATACTAGATATCCGTCAAATTCGCAAATAAATTTCGATAATTATTGAGCTAAAACAAAAATAAAAATGAGAACTTTATTGTTGTCGTGTATCTGTCTCGTTTTAAAACCAAATATGAAAAATGTTCGCCGCTTTGAAAAAGTACGCGTACTTTTTTACCGTAAGCACAAAATATAAGCGTCGGAGCATAACGAAGAGCTTCAAACGACAAACGTTCGTTTCGTTATACGCATATGTACGGTATACAACGAGGACGTGGACGGCAGCCGCTCATTTGGCGTACAGTCGTTTTTGCCTCGACAATACTCGCGTTAAATGGTTCTACGCGCACCCCATCATCAAATAATAGCTCTCGCGCGCGCGTACATGTAAATGCGCAATATACATACCAGTTGTAGTATACCAGTAGGTACATGCGCCTCGTTCTATAACGTAATGCATATAGCTAAGGTAAACATACAAAGACGCGTGCACGCGCGCCATAACAGCCAAAGTTTGGTATTATAACGACGCGTACTCGACGCGAGACCAGAGAAAGAGACGAGAGCTCAAGAGGTCGAAAACGAGCGATATCAAAGTTGAGCGACGGAAACAATGCGAGCGCGAGGCTAAAAAAAAAAAATTCGAGCGTCGGTGCATGTGTTTCTCCTTGACTCCGTATATATACGTATGTAGCCGTGGTTGCGGCGGCCAACAATGCACATAGGTCGATTTTCAAGTGATCTCCAGGACGAGAGCTGAGCAACGAGAAGGAGAAGGAGAGCGAGATTGAGAGAGAGAGAGAGAGAGAAAGAAGAAAAAATGACGCGCGTGCAGCTCTTATGTACCCTCAACTGTATATGCCACAGAGCAGCGAGTCATTATATTTTAAAGACGCTACTTTGCACTCAAACCCTTTACGCTACGACTTCTGCACTCCGCTAAACGTTTTTTCCTCGTTAAATGACAAAAAGAATAAGGAAACGTTTGCTCAATCGGTCTGTGTATAAGCGAGGAAAGATGCGCTGCAGTGCACGCGATTTTTTAACCGATATATTCATTACAAGTATCCGGGCTGGCCAAGTGTCCGCATCGATAGTGGTACCTCTGCGGTCTCGTTGTGTAAGCACAGAGTCGAGCCCACTCGAATCGCCATGCGTCGGAAAGTCTCTAAACGGCTCTCGAGGACCACTAAATGGCCTGGCACACGATTTCGCATCTTTGCGCACATGCGTGTACTACATTTATATAATAACAGTTGCTCGTTCAGCTGTGCGCTAAGTGGTATACCTTTATGTAATAAATATATGAACGAGAGCGCGCGAGTTCGAATTTAAGGGAGGGTCTTTTTATATGCAGGTATATAATATCGTACGTAGCAAAGTTAAAAGTTTTTAAGTTTGCAAATATATTAGACTAGGTCCACAAAACATGCCGTCGAAGATATTTCATTTTTCAAAAACTGTCTTTTACTTATATACAATTATTTTGATTTTGCCACTTGCAGATTTACAAATAAAGCTACTCGTCATCTTGTGGTAAAAACTAACATTAATTATCATTGATTGGTCGACAAAGATTCAATTATGAAATTCTGCATCAGTTACTTTAATTTTAATGCCTGATTTGACATCAAATCTGTATTCCATTCAAGGCTTTCCTTAAAAACAGTGTACGCATAAAGTTGTCGAATTTTCTTTAAAAATCACAATTGATTACATGAATCATCGCAAAAAGATTATGCAGCTTTCATTGATCTTATTACGATTCGACACAGGCGCCTTGACAAATATATCAAATCGGAAATGATCTTTGCACTCGATCTCTCTTTCGAAAAGCGCCCTCGAGCTCATTACACGCACTTCTCGCTTTTTATCGACTCGAAAGAAAAGAAAAAATCGACTGCTCTCACAAGCTTACAGCACTGGGCTATACTTGAAGAGAGAGAGAGAGAGGGTCTCTGCGTGTAATTCGCTATAATCGGCGTATCACTCGCGTGTCGAATGCCACTTATAACGCGCCCGAACAATGCCTCAAAAGTCCGGTTCGTAACACGGCGCTCCATTATGTGTAGTAGCATGTACACAGAAAGAGACTCGTGCGAGCTAGGCAAAAACTGGCAG